AAAAAAAAAGAACGTCATAACTTATTAATAAATCAATTTAAATTGAAATATACATATGCTAGGAAAATGTTTTATTTAAATCTGTTTTCAATCTATATTCAACATATGAGTGTAAAATGATGTATCAATCAGAAAAAAAAACCGAAAGACATGTTATTCCTGCTGTGTGATAGATAAATGAAAAAAGAAAGAAAAATTTACCAGTTATTGTCATCTGTAAAATAAAAAAATTGATCTTTTGACACATGTAGATAATCCATTCTTCCGGCGCCGCACAATGAAAACTTTGATTTTGCCTATCGGATATAATTAGTGTTGAACTACGTTCGTCACGCGGTCATTTAAGATCAGTAACATAGTTGAAATAATATTTGTATAAACACATTGGCATCATCGTCATCACAAGGTGTTCATCTATTTTTTAGTCTATGGTGATTTATATAAAAGGTTTCATTTATTAGCCGTAAGGCATGGAAATATAGGATGAAATAAATGAAGTGACACGAGCCGCGCTTCTTCAATGCCAAAGATAAACGTACAATCATACAATAAATTTGATTCACTTGTAAATTCAGATATAACTTGCATCTTTGGTTATACATCATAGTAATAAGAGAAAATGTTAGCAGTATCCATCTTCATCTAACACTTTCTCTATTGTGCATCTCTCACGATCGTTCTTTTTTTCCTAATGGGTTAGATTTTTTTGATCAAAGCGTATATTTATACAGATTTGTAACATAAACACACATTCATCGAGGAGATCTCATACCAAACTTTGTTATCCTAGCCTCTCTTCTTTGTTTTTTTTCTCTTAAACATGTAAAAGAGAATGCGAAATGTTTTTTTTTTGTTTTTATATAGAAATATATACGTTTTTTTATAATCATCAGTCAAAAAAATACTTTTCAAATAAAAAATTGAATTCATTCATCATCAGGTTAAACATCAGTATTGATCATCTCTCATTTGATTGAACCGTCAATATTCACACACATATGGTGATTAATGTTAAGAAAACAATTAATTTGGCACATATTTTTACTAACTGTAAGTCTATATAAACATAAGTACGAAACGGAAATTTCCTCTCATGAAAATCACAGATGTGTATAAAATTGAAATTTTCATTTTTAAATAAGATCTTATGTAAAACAAAAAAACCGAACGAACGAACTAATGATGCCTAGAGAAAAATAAGTCAATTGATTGATTGATAGATATCTATCTCAACTCAATTTGGAATAGACATACATCCGGGCATTACGTCTATTTGGTGATCTATGTGAAAATATGCAGCCGTTTGTGGAAAATCTTAATACACTTGACTTTTCGATTAACTTTGCGCAAATGAAATAATAACATAAGTAACAGTTGAGAAATGTTTGTTCAATCATTCTAATTTTCAATTTAATTTCTTATGTAAGCAAGAGAAGGAATGAATATTAAATGAAGACAATCAAACTAGGTTTTTTTATTATTGTTAGTTAATATTATAATGAAGTTATTTTTTGAATGGATGAGAACTGAACACAAATGTTTGATTGATGAGACATAATTATTATGTTTTCATCCAACTGTTCCTCACATCAATTTTTATAGGTTAAAGACTAATGGTTGTTGATTCAAGGCAACAGTTGATTGACCCTCGGGTATTGCACAGACATTCTTTTTTTTTTCTGTGATTCTATAGACTTGAGTGTAATGCACTATTCTCAACAGTAACGATTCTCTTGTCGTTTCTTTTTTTTTGAATTGTTTGCGAAGAACTTGAAATTGAATGAACAAAAGCTCCACACTTCTCACAATGATGAAATCTCAAAAAAGAACAACATAAATTCTCATTCGTTCTTTTTTTTGCCTACTTGCTTGAATTGGTTAAAGAAGAAGAAGGAGGAGGAGTTGTCAGGAAGCAGAGAGAAAGAGAGAGAGAGAATGTTTGTTTAACTTGTTCCATTACCATAGAAAAAGAACGAAATGCACTCATTCGATGAACAGGAAAATTGGCTAGACTAATTTGAATAAACATTCGCGCTAGAAAAGATAAGTGCAAGCATACACCGTATCTCAATGCCTAAAGCTAGTCATCAATTGAATAATATAGAAAATCAAGGAAACAACAGCTAAAAAAAGAAATCTCATCTTCTTTTTCCTTGTTTTGTTTTTTTAAGATATTACAAATGCTTGTTGATCATGATTTTTTTCAAATAATGATAAAGATGTGTACTGTTCACACTTCTCTACAGGGATTGTTGTTATTTTGCTTTCGAAAGAATCTTCAATTTTAATAAATGTATATTCAATATGGTTTTTGTTTTTCACTTAGCCCAAAAGCGATTTTTCTGTCTAATGTTTGATCGATTGATGTGTGTGTGTGCGTGTGTGTGTACTGCTCGTGGCCATAAGGTGTCTAGTATGTTAATCGTCATGCTGTGCTTTTCATCCTATTAGTATTATTTACTTATAGAGTTTATTAGAAAATAATCAAATGATATATATCTTATACACAATAGGAAGATTTTATCCTACGAATATTTTATTTTAAGATGGAAAAATTTGTCTTAATAAACTTTCAGTAAGACCTGTTGATTGTTGTTCTTTCTTTTTAGATTTACGTCTTGTAGCAGCTTCATGTGGATCTTGTTGATCATAATTCCATTCACGAATATTTAAATCTTCTGGTCTTTTTTCCATTTTCTTCTCAAGTTTACGTAATTTACGTCCTTTTTCAACATTTTCAATATACAAATTTGCTTCACGTTTAGCTTGAAGAACTTCTTGTCGTAAACGTTTTTTTCGTACTTCATTTTCATATTGAAATCGTTCATGAAGATGTGTCCAACGAAATTTTGATAGATATCTATTTCAATATATTAAAATTTTAAAGATAAAAGAAAAATAATTTTCTTACTTAATATTCCAAATTTCATCATACCATGGTGTTCGTCTTCGGCCACCAACTTGTTGATTATTTAATTGTTTAGCAATAAGTTTTGCATCACGTTTAGATTTAAATTCTATCCAACCTTCACTATATTTTGCACCACGTTCTCGTTTAGTTTTACCTTCATCCTCTTAAATAAATATAAGTTAATTTATTAATAAGAAAAAACAATGATATAGTTTACTTGACAGTTGTAAAAATATTCGTCCAGTTTGACCATATTGATCAAAATATTGTCGAATAATTGTTACATTCATTTTATTAGGAATACGACTGAGATATAAAACACCAGGTACTATTTTCTTTTTAGCATCGGATTTACTGAGAACTTTATCATGTAATTCGGGTTCTTCTTCTTCGTCTTCTTCTTCTTCTTCATCGTCTTCTTCTTCGACTTCTTTTTCGTCTTCTTCGACTTCTTCATGGTCACTTGACGATATCTTACGTTTCTTACCCATTATAAAGAATTTATCTGAAACTACATGAGTAAAAATATCCTTGTCAAATATATGGAATACAATGAAGTATCAACAATACACAGAATGCAATGTCTTTTGGTAGTTATCAAGATTCAAGAAAACATATAAATATGCTTGCTTTGCTTATATCAAAATGTTATCATTTGACATTAATATGACTTCGTAAGACGTATCGTACGTTATGGCAGTTTTGTTCGTATTCGACTGAAACCTTTGCTAATTCTTCTACCTTTGACATATGTCTTAATGACCTTGATATGCTCTCTATCACTTTCAGTACTTCCATTCAGAATATATATTAAAACGAATAGCTTAAATGATACTATTTATAATTATTTTTCTTCTTTATATCTTAATGATCTCTATACTGGTCTTAACTATTTGAATCTAATATTATCTTGAATTCAGAGAAATTTCAATGATATCATATATTCGAGCTATTATTTTGAATTGATTAGAAAACCTGAATTGTATTTAGTAAATCAGTTAAACTAGCAACGTGTACCAGTAGGTCGACAAGAGATGTATAGTATGTCATATATCATATTGTACGTGATATATAAAGAAATATTTTTTTCTAGAAACTAAATGAGTATATGTTATCATTATTATTACTCTTAATTATGTTTCTTATCAAGACAAAAAATGTGGGAGTAATATTTTACGTATTTTAACTTTATCGAATATATTTTCAGTAATTGTTTTCTCTTTATCTATGTTTCATTTATCTATTATACTCAACTATGTGTCTAAGTGTGAATCATTGATTGGGTTTATATACTTGTATAGATTACTCTTTATTACTATATAACTATCATATAATCATTTCGATAAATAGTTAATCTAGGATCATACGTCTATAAAACAATCATTCGTACTCAAAAGGTTATCTAGAAAAAAAATAGATAAAACAAAATATTATTTAGTGACTTTTATTCGATATTGTCATAAATAAGATTTGTCAAAAAGAAAGGTTTACAATGTTTACTTTCCCTTTTTTTATTACTTTTATTTTCGATTATTAATATATTATCTATTTCCTGACATACATCATTAAATATCATCTCATACCGATTAAATCAAAATACAAGAAAATTTCATATCTAAGAGAAAAAAGTTTATTTCATTCCAGTGACAAAAAAATAAGTGAATATGTATATGTATATATATAAGCTGTTGTTCAAAGAATCAATAAATTTAAAAAGTTGTTCGGCTAGTTTAAACAATAATAAATGGAAAAAAGAAAGAAGGAATACGAATCAATTGAGATTCAAGAATCACAATACAAAAAAAGAATGATAGTGATAGTCTTGCATATGTATGCATCATTAATTTGGATTGAGTTGCCTAAGTAAGAAAAAAAGCAAACGAAAGAAAAGAAAAATCAGTGAAGATATCAATGGGTACAAAAACAAGAATAACAAATTTTTGTTTTAACATGAAAGTAGAAAATAAGACTTGAGGAATGATAATAAAGGAAACAAGTTATTTTTTATTACTCGATAAATGTTATTTACATTTTAAGTGAGAAGACAAGCGATAAAAATTCTTCATAATTTATTGTTATTTGTCCATTTTGTAAACGATCATATTGACGAAAAGCATTTGTTAATGTTTGAATAGATACACAAGCTTGAATAAAATCATCAAATGCAACTGTACCACGACCAGTTCGATCAAATTTTCGAATTAATAAATCATAGAAACGATCCGAAAGACGATAACCTAAAATACAAATTAAAATTAGTCATATTTTTTTTGGAAAATATACACAAAAAACGAAAAGACTAAATATATATTGTATTATTTAATACTGATCGACAATCGAATAATGTAAAAAAGGAATCAGTGCGAAAAGCAAGAGCTAATCCTATTATGCAATTAGATATATAATCTACATGCAAGCGAATTATTTATAATGGATAAATATAGTTTGTAAAATGACACACTATATAACTACGTATATATATAAAACATACCAAACGAGCTTAATGCTGTTTTAAGCTCGTGTTTATCAATTGTACCACTACCATCTAAATCGTATTTTCTATAATAAAAACCAATTTTCAGTATTTTTTATTCAGAAGAAGAAAAAAACAAACCTGAAACATTTTTCCCATTCAGTAACATATCGCCAAAGTGCACGAAATTCTTGGTAATCAATAGTGGATGATCCATCTTGATCAAACATACCTATTCAATTAAATATATAAGACAATCTGTATCCCTCATTTGTAAATAAAAGAAGAAATCATTTTCGATTGTCGATCAATATATAATTATTCTTTTCGTTTAATGCGTATTTTATTTTACGTGTATTACCAAATGAAGCTAATGCTTTTCGAAATTCATCTTTATCAATCGAACCACTTTTATCTTCATCAAAACCACGAAATACCTTTTCCCATTGTGTAATAAATTGCCATAAAGATTTAAATTCATTAAAATCAATCGTTGATGATGAATCCTTGTCAAACATTCCTGAAAACATTTTATCTCTCTACTACATTTTTCTCTTAATCAAACTTATTATGCGGAGTTATTAAACTTCATTGATTTTTAAAACCTACCTATCATCATTCGAACAGTTTCCTAGATAATACAAATAGAGTTTTCATGAGTATTAAATTCTTATATTAAAACATACAGGATTAAATGGACTCCAGGTACCATTTGAAAGAGCTGATTGTAATTCATTGGATGTTATTGAACCTGATCCATCAGCATCTACCCTAATAAATATATATATAATAAATTATTTGAAGGTTTATTGAATGAAGAATTCATACTTTTTGAATACTTGTTGTAAAAAAGCATCGGATACTTCACCTTGACCCATGTTAATTTAGTTTAAGAAATAAAGAAAAGAATTTAGTCAATCTAAAATGAAACAATAAAAGTAATGTTACTATTTGTTTGTCTATTGCATTTCTAAGGATTCTATTTCTATATGAATCAACGAAATTTTGAAAAAGCTATTTTTAACTATCGTATATGAGAATCGGACTATATAACATTTACCTATTTGCGTGTTCTTAACAAAATACAAAATAAATATGACGCTTCTCCTCTCTTATTTTGATAAAACATATATTTTACTACTCATAAGTAAATATCAAATATCACACCGATATGTGAAATAAAAATAGATAAAATCTACATTGATTCTAACAAACGTGAACTCTATTTAAGATCTTATTATATACTGATTTATGACGTCATGATGATTATCATTCTATTTTGTCTCTTGTTAATTGATGGTATGCAATGACGTCAAAAAGATTACTCATCATCGAATAAATAGAATTTCGATTATATTAGTTGTCTAACCAGTGAATATGTGTTCTAGAAGAGAGATGTGAAAAGTTGAATTAACAAGGAAGAACAAAATATCCAATCAGTAGGAGTTTATACTTTATCGATGCAAAATTTAATAAATCTATTAAAAGATTTTTCTTAGATAATTACATAAAAAAATGAAATTATTAAAAATATAAATCGATTGAATAGTAGCTCCCTCTATCGACGGTAATATATATATTAAAAATGTTTTATGCAGATTACTTTTCTTCTTTACAATTAAGTTTTTGACGTGGATAATTTTCTACTTCCGCTCACCAAACCATAGCGTTATGAAAAAGACTGAGTGAACTTAATTTGATAACACATATATAATATAAAATTAAAGAAAAATGGATTTTTATCTAATTCAATATGAATGTTTCGTATGAGATTTCTTTTTGTTTTTATTAAATGATAAACACAATAGAAATCAAATGTTGTTATACAGACAGCACGAAATACAATGAATACAGTAAATCGATATATATATATACACACACGCACATAAACAAAAAAATCCGAGTCGTACCATACATATATAATTCTATGGTTTTCGACGTTTCTTTGAACTTATTGATGATGTATCTATCAATGGTCGTTTTTTATTATCGAGTTTAACTGTAACCAAAGATGATTTTGATGATTTCATATTTTCTACATCATCCAATGAAAATGGATCAGGTCTTACGCGAATTGTTAATTTTGGAACAACTCGTCGCGAAGATAATTCATTATTGTTATTGTTATTATTATTATTACGTTCACTATCGGTTGTTGTTGATGATAGTGAACTAAGAGAAGAAGTACTTGAATGATGCGTCGAACGAATTGTTGGACGCCAACTTTTAAAATTTGAATTATTTGAAATTGGATTAGTTGATAATGATGTTGATGATGATGAATATTGAGATGATGTTCGTTCACGATTTTTAAAAAATATTCGTGATGATGATGAAAATGATGATGCTGATGATGATGAACTTGATAATGCTGATGAAGGACGACGTGATGGTCGTGTACTTATATTAGATAACTAAAGAAATCAAGAGCAAATTTTGTTTTATAAATTTATTTAAAAATCAACAGTTATTAAATACATTTGAATTCGTTCCAGTAGTTGATTTATTTGTTACTGTTACTGAAAGTGAATTAGAACTCGTAGTACCATCTGAACCAATTGCTGAATCTGTTGCTGATGGTTGATTTCGAGTATTGGTCACCGGCGATTTTGATACTGATGAATGTGAACTACTTGGACGTCGATGTGATGATATTACTTTATTTAAATTTGGCAAAGGATATGAAGGTGATAATGATTGTGATGATGATGATCTACTGTTTTGTTTTGTTTTCCTTTTTCTAGATGACTAAAGTATTAAACAAGAAAGTATATTAGATTTCAATAGTCTATCAAAAAAAAAACAAGTTATTTACTGTTCCTGTTGATTTCGATCCATCAGGTGGAGATGCAAATTGACCATTTTTATTTCGATAAACTACCGTTGTTGGTTTAGTAGTGGATGTATTCGTTCCATCTGTAGATTTTTCTAAAAATTTAATTCTACTATTTATATTATTATTGATTAAATTTTATACTTTTCTCTTGCGTTGAACTGACAACATTTGTTGGATGTATCTTACGCAGTAGACGTTTATCAGTTTGACGTAAACGTGTAGAAACAATTGGATGTGTATCTGCTATTATTGTTGTTGATTGCGGATCCTGTGTAGATGGTGAAACTGTTTGAATAGTAATAAGATCTGGATTTGTTAAAGACGGATTTATTTCTGCAAATGTTCCTTTACTAAACCTGAAATTTAATTTTACGTAAATCTAAACAATTAGAAAATATGAAATTAATTTACATTTCACAGCTTCGACATTCACAAAGTGAATTATTATCACCAAAAAAATCCGATCCATAACAACAAGTTATTTCATTACCAACATCAATTGGACGAAGTACATGAATATAAGCTGAACTTAAACCTGTCGCTACAAACTAGAAAACACAAAACATTCATCGAATCTAATCAAATAATAAATTTACTTTGCAATTTGCTCGACAATCATGATTTATATAAGCTAAATAGAAAATAACACAATAAAATATGAAGTAAATTCTTTGTTTTTAATTACCGGCGGGTCCAAGCCATAATTGTGAACATTTTTTCCGACAAGAATACATCACTGAAAAATCATTAATACCTGGTTTGAGTAAAGCTTGTTCTTCTTCAGGACTTAATTCAGCAATACATCCAATTAACATTTCAATTTTATCATTAACCGCCCTAGGATGCACATATATATATATATAAATCTATTTTAATGGTAAAGAATTTATTTTACCATTCTTTTGTAGCAACTACTTTTCCTCCACATTTTTCTGTTGAATATCGATAACATGGTTGAAGTGTAACACCGGAATTTTTATTGAATAAATGAAGAAAACGAAACATCTAAATTATTTATTAGAGAGATTTTTTCTTTTTCTTTTTCTCTTACATGTTCTTTAAATACAGTTAATTGTGTTGGACTTTTTCGTGCAAGTAAATGATCATACCAATTTCCAATAGAAGTTAATTCAGTAAAACATCGTTCATAATCAAGATGTTGTTGAAATTGTTCAACGACTAATTTCCATTGTGGTGATAGACGACGATTTGGACGAAAACGTACATTCATTTTATGCGTTGTAAATCCAAACATACTATCAACAATGATCATTGTAGCAAGATCATCGTTTTCACTATATAACATAGAAAATAATAAAAAATAATAGAATGAAAAAATTCATACCAAAGATCAGCGACAGTTCGAGGTATTCCACTGTACATAGTGATCAATAATTGCTGACAAAATACTAATTAAATTTTACAAATTCATTTTTTTTAATACTAAAACTTATGATTTTAACATAAATGTTTGAAAAATTTTGAATTTAAATAAATATGTCATAGGAAACTAACAAAGGGATTTTGTAAATAAAAACTTTCTTTTTTTTTGTATTTGTACAATTTTTTTTAATAAGGAAGCCGAAAAGAAGAGTCTTTTTGTCAACTAGGTATAAATATATGCAACCAATACTATTTTGCTGCGAATTAGAAAAGAAATAAATTTTATGACATTTACTGACATCTACATTATTTTTATTACAGTATAATTATGTATATATTAAGATATACTACAACACAATTGAATAGATATCGATATGAATGATTATCAATATTTTGTTACTTCTAATATCATTCAGATAAGTTAAAACTACCTGAAAAATACAATTAAAGAGTATAAAATGAGAAAATACTGTAGTAGTCTCATTGTTCAATGCTTTTTGATTATACATCTAATGAGACTTTTGAATAATAAGACTTTCAAGTATGTTCGACTCATGGTCATAATTCGATAATAATATGAAGATCTTTGCTATGCAAGGTTATTTAATAAAAGTGCGATAAATAAATAAACTTGAAAACTTTATATTAAATCGAACCTATATTGATTGATACATCACCGACTATATAAACACTTCAATGAAATAAGTCGATTGAAAAATATTTACGTAAGAAACTTTATTTGACAGTTAAGATTAAGAGCATAATAATTATTGTTTTCAATGATGTTATTCTTAAATGTGTACATCGAAAGAATTTTTTTCTGACATCTAACTATCAGTACTTTTAATAGAATGAATTAACGATTATTAAAACACAGATGAATTTATTGACGGTATTAGATTTATATCAAAATTATCTAATATATGAATAAAATATATCCATATGTATTCCAAAATTGAATTAATACGAATATAGCAACGAATAGTGGTCGTTACAGATTAGTTACTAAAAAGAGGTGATATTGGTAATCAGTAGGGATGTGCAGTGTCGGTTTAATGAGCACTGAATTTCACTGACAACGATGTTCACCGTGCCACTGAAAATATTGGTGTCGGTGTTCACAGAACGCCGAAGGTATCAGTTTCAGTGACCACCGTGCCAGTTTTTCGGTGAACACAAAGATACTGTTGTAAATACTAAGGTTTAGCGCAAAAATATTTTAGTCAACAGTGTTATTGACGCTGATATCCAGTGTTTGGTGAACACCGACACTTATTTTCGGTGTTCGGTGAACACTGACCCCGATATTTTCAGTGGCACAGTGGGCACCGAACTGATATTTTAAGTGTCCGTTTTTCAGTATTTTCACTGACAATGCACATCCCCAGTAATCAGTAAAACGAATGATATCGATCTAGAAGTAATCATGGAGGATCAGCAATAGAAGGGTTTTTTCGATACCTGAGAAGTACCCAAGGGGTCTAGAAAATGAGTTTTAGGAAAATCGAAAATAATCATGGACGAAGTCTAATTATTAGGGTATTAAAATTAGGTTGAAGCCTATCTGGACACTGACATCATAACGCTATAAGCATGTGTCTAGTATAACAGACTTATTTTTACATAGTCTCATGTACCGTCATGTCCTATATCCAATAGTGAAAACCGCAAGTCTCTCTCATTTTGCGTTCGAAAGTTATAAGCGTTCTTCTCAAACACCTGTTTAACAAAAATCGATATTAGTGAGCTGTGTATATCGTTGTTAATAAGTACAAATATTTTACCTGTAAATCCTTTTCTTTTAAAATTATCTTGATAATTCTCTTCCATTTTTTTAAAGAGACATTTTATCCGTACTTTTAAGATTTCTCCTATATTATCCCTATATTATTTTAAATGTAATTAAAAAAAGATGTAACCAATGGCTGTACTTTACCTTGTTAAAAACACAAAATATATTGAAGAATGCAGTATGAAGAGTTCATAATTTACAAAGAATTCACTCTATAACAAAAGGTACATCAGCTATGTAAAGAATTTCAAGCGCTATCCTTCAATGAAAAACAGTATTTTAATTATAAGGATCATAGAGAAATTTCTTTCTTTTAATACGATTATTACTTAGTTGATAATTTCAATTAATACGCAATCAAATTCTTTTTCATATGTAAATTTTGAAGATAATTAAAATTCTTTGTTATTTAGTTTTTTCAATGATGTTTTATTTTTATTTATTTTCTTGTTTTTTCTCTTTCAAATGCACACAATAAAAGATGAAAAGAAAACAAAATCTCAAAACGATTTAGTTGCTGTTGTGCCTTGTGTTTGCTTGATTAAAAAAAAACAAAATCATTTAATTTCGTTCAGTATCATCTTTGCGTGCTAATGGTGTATCACGTTTCTTACGGAATGAACAACCTTCAGTAAGACGTGCTTTGCCACCTGATGGTGAACAGAGAACGTAGTTACAACCAACGCATAAAACAACTGTTTGTGCATGGCTGAAAACTAAAAAGATACGGAACAAAAGAAACGTTTTTTAATAAAAAAAAAAGATTTTTATTTTACCTGTTGTAATTTTGTAACAACCTGGGCATTTAACATCCATAAAGTATGAATTTGGACTTTGCACAAGTCGTTTCTTTTTGTGTTTGCGACGTTCTTCATCAATAGATGGATGGAGAAGATCTTTAGCTAAAGGCATTTTGTATTTTTAATATACGTTAAATATCTGAAAAATACATAAAGTTTACTGACTACTTAGTTTATATTAATATATATATATGTATATATATGTACAAATGTTGCATGAACATTATTTTTTTTTTTTTGTCGTCATTGTAAGTTTGTTCGTATGTGTACATTAAATATCTGATCGAAGACAAGAAAAGAAGAAAGAAAGAAAAAAAACAAAAAAGAAAAAAAAACATATTGTTGATAATTATGAAATTGGAAGAGCACTAACAAACACACAAGAAGAAAAAAAGCCATTGCAGTACAAATGATTGACATTAAACCGGTTAAATAGGGAAATAGTAAGAATGTATTAGTCATATCTCTTTTTTTTTATAAATATTATTTAAAATATTTAGCTGCACTAACTAAGATAAGTTTTTCAACAAATAATTCTGAATCTAATATTGCTATATGAGCTGCACGACCAATAAAATTGTTAGTGCCTGATGGAATATTATGAAAAGCATTATAGCGAACAAATGTTATTGATGGATTACGAAGAATTGGTTCAAGCAAATTATTTATCATTTCAACATAAACCGAACCTGAAAAAATTGATAAAAATATTATATTGAAAGTTTTAATGACATACATTGTAAGTCTTATTAATTAAAGCAGGATTAGAGAAAAAAATCAAACAAAGCGAGTATTAACTCATCTCTCTTTTTCATTCATAATCATGATGGATGCTTCTATTTGACATAGCCTACGTTTTGTAAATACTTTTCTTCTCACGCTACTGGTTTTCCTAGAAATCTTTCTTTTTTTATTAAATAAATAACGAACCATAAACTGTATCTTTCAATGCTGCTTTGCAAATTTCAATTCGAGCCGAATGAAATGGAACATAGCGATCTTGTGGTGAAGCAATTAATAAAATATTTTTAAAATATTCTAAACCTAAAAAAAAATAAAAGTAGGTTAAATAAAATAAATGGATTTTTTGTATTTTAAACTTACAAGGTTTTTTACTAAGTTTATATATATATGTTTGTTTTGGATCAACATGATCTTTAAATGACATTTGAGATAAACTACATGATTTTTTCCATTTTTGCATTAACCACATTCCCATATTAACTAAACCACTTGAATTAAATAATGTTCCTAAATGTGGTCCAGATAATGAAAGATATGTATAAAGTAATGTTCTATATCGTTCAAAACGTGAATGAGCAACTGTTGCACGTACAACAAGATTTCCTAATGAATGTCCAACAAAACTTATTCGTTGTGGTTTAAGTCCAAAACGTTCAATATGTGTATCAATTTCATCAACTAATTGTTTAACCATAATATCAATATCATCAAATGTTGATGAATGATTTGAAGATGACATAAGAAAATCCAATCGACATGTTGGTAAACATAATTCAAGATATGTTTTAACTAAACGTAAATCACCTGAATTACCATCTAAACCATGTACACATATAATAAGATGGATACCATTCGAATCAAATGGTATAGTTTCTTGATAAAAATATGGTATTGTTGATACAAGTGATGAAAAATCTGAATAAAACATTAAGTTTGATGAATATTTTGTTGATAGAATTTGTTTCATTTTTTCTTTATAACCAACATATTCAATTGTTTGATTATTAGCTAATGAATTTGTTTGTATTCGATCATTTTCATCGCTTTTTGTTGATTGATCATCATCAATAATCATAGGTAAATGATGTCCATTTGTTTTTTCCATTAAATTTAATGTATTTTCATCATCAGTTAAACCATTTAATAATAATGGATCAATATCATTTGTTGATATTGTATGTCGCCGATGATAATCAGCTGTTGCTGTTTGTTCTAATTGTAAAGTTAAATTAAGAACTGAATCAAGTGAATAATTTGCAGGTCCATTTGTTGAATTCTCATTTGTTCTTGTTGTAAAATATTTTGGTTGAGTATATATATGTTTTTTATTATTATGATTATTTGTTGTTGTTGATGATGAAGTTGATTGAGAACGAAATGGTGTTGTTATTGCTGTTGTTCGACGATCCATAGTACTAGCTTTACCACGAAATGATGCTTGTAAAACTTTTGATTTCATACTTGAATCGCCAAATGTTGATGCAGCAACAGCTTTTTCTTGATCATTTGTTACTAGAAAAACTTCATCAGTTTTATCGGGTGTTGTACATAAAAATTGAGGAAGCATTGGTGAATCAAGTTTTGTTACTACTGTATTATTATTAGTATTATTGCGTTGGAATGGTACATCAGGTAATGAATAACGACTAGGATGTTTCTGTAAA